CACCACAGCACTATCATCAATGTTGTTGGAGATGTCCATAGGGTCATAGCGAGGTTTCTTCGCCATCCCAGCATCAGCAGGCTCGTTGGGTGTTGCCCTGTGCCTGACCAAGGTTTGCACAGTTATATCCACAAGGTCTCCTACTTCCCCAGCAGCCTCGGGGATCCTGCCCAGTTCAGAACCCAAGGCATCAGTAGCATCCGAGCTTCCAGGCCTAGCCTCAAGCAACAACTGGCCGTGTTTAGATGGAATGAGAGCCTTGGAATTCTCTGCCTTAGCCTGCCGAACCCAGGTGAACTGCTTCCGGGAGAGCAGTGAAAGTTCATTCACCTTGGGGCCAGACTTTGTTGAGATCAGATGTTTACCATAGGGCGTGGTAGTGCCTGCAAGCTCTTCTCTGCGGGGGCAGAGTTGGCCTATGTGGCCGAGAATACCACATAAGTAACAGAATTGGGGCAGTCGTTTGTATGTAATCGCCGCCGCGAACGGGCCAATGCCGCCCTTGTCATGGGCCGCTGGAACACAGACAGGCAGAGGCAGGCGACCGTCAAGCCAGACCCTTGCCCGGAGGTACAGCTCCCCGGAGATCGGAATCCGGTGCACCGCCGTCGAATCCGCCTTCCCCAGAGCCATGCCAAGGAGCGAAGCCATTTTCCGGGTACAACATTGAGGGGGAACATCCCAAAACTGGAGATCTAGAGGAATCCGCCAGGTCTGTTCAGCAACCGCCGGCGTAACCTCCACCCAGGGGACCAAATGGACAAGAAACTTGGGGAGGAACCACGGCGATTGTTTGTGAACCCTGTCCATATCTTCCTCCGTCGGGAAAACAAACTGTAGCAGCCCTTCCGCCGCCTGGAGGACTGACATCGCGCCACTGCAATTCCATAACCGCCCCATGGTGGATTGCAACTGTCGAATCGGGGGAGACAAACCAACCACCCTACCCAGCAGGGACAACTGGTTTCGCTCAGCCCCAGCCACCACATCGCCGTCGCCGAATATCACCGCAATCGGAGCTGCCATCGCAAGGGGCTTAAGAGGGGAACTCACAAAATTTCGATGAAATCTCAAGAGCTTCGAAACCCACACTCGAATCGACGGATGCCAAATCGATGCCCACCAAGGGGGCTTTATAATCCCCATCGGCCCCCGTCCCGTTGCCGGCGGGACACGATGCAGAGGTGGCCAGTTACGGCAAGGGCGCACTTCGGCGATGAATACTCACCCACTCTCCACGATGGAGAGAAAGGGGAGTTTTTTTTTTTTTTTTTCTTTTCTCCTCCTTTGTGCCTTATTCCTATTGCCAAACGCGGCTTGCTCTTCTTCTTCTTCGATCAACCAGTCACCCCTGCAATTAAAAGACAGAAAAAAAAAAAAAAAAAAAACAGAGCACCACAAGAACAGAGCACACGAACTAAGTGCACTAAGAATCAAAGCTGAAAATAGACTAGGACACATGAAATTTTTACGTGGTTTACAGTGTTGAGAAAAATACTCAACACTGACTACTCCACGGTCAGAGATTCATGATCGTGTGATCTCCGACGATCTACTAAGGATATAACTTGACGCTCGTTGAGTATAGATTAACACTCGATCAACCTCCCCGGCCAATCGAACATATTCTAACCCTGTTGATCAACTCCCCGCCGATCAACAACCCAGTATTTCCCCAATACTGAACCCAAGCTATCTCCCTGATGGCTGGAACCCTTTTCCTATCAGACTACCCACAACAGATACCCTTTGCTCTCTTCGTAGTATTGATTTCCCGGAAAATTTGTCTCTCTTCTCATGCTATAGATCCTTTTATAACCTCAATGCCTCCGCCATTGTGATTGAAAGCTTCTTACCATGTTGATCCGATTCTAAATCTCCTTAGAAAAGGTAAGCTTCTTCTTGCTTCTCAATCTTCTCACTTCCCGTTGGTTTTGAATATCCTTTCCTTCTTTCAGTGAAAATGCCAGCGGAGGAATTGTCTTCTTTTGGCCAAGTGATTATGATAGGATGCTTGGTGACGTACCCAACTTGGATCGATCCAATCTTGCACAATTGTGATATTTACTAGCCGTTGGCGCTTAGTTTCTTTCCCCTCTCTTGTGATTCTTCATGAGAGAAATAAAGGGGCTTTCATAATGCTCCAATTTATGTCTTCTGACTTGAACATCAAGGTTGCGATGATGATTTATCCATGCTCAAGCTAGCTTCAATTCCAGCCTTGTATAGTCTACACATAAAATGAATTTCTCGACCTGCATCCTCAATCAAGGAGTTAGCTTCCAATGAACATATGAGTTAATTATACCGTAACATCCATTTCATGACAAAGCATAATTGCAATTTCACCCTTAATCACTTTGCTTCTTTCCCAATCGTTTCGGATCCTCTTGCACTTGCTAATTCAGCAAGCAACATTTCACAGTTTAAGGATAAATCACTAAACTGAAGTGTCATTTCCAGGTTATCTAATATCGACACTCGCTCACACACAGTGAAAACTATATTGCTGATGAGAGTTTTTCTCCCAACACAGACCACTTTGGCAAGCTAATTGATCAATACAACTATACAAGGTTGTTTGGATGCTACAGTTGGATGAGCAAATTGACTAAAGTGTTTTAAATCGGAGTAACGAAGTGATATAGATTCGTTTGTCAACACAAAAATACAAATGCAACAGTTTGGTTGAGTCAATTTAAATTTTTGTGTAAAAGTGTTTTCTTTTAGATGAGCAAATTGGGTAAAATTTATTCATTTAAGAAAGCCACCATCCAATCCACCCTACGTTTTTATGGCGGAACTAGGGAGAATTGGCATGATAATGGTCTTACTAATATCGTTGTGTGAGTCTATGAAAAAAAATCATTTTAGGCATGTTTGAATAGTAAAAGACTTAGAAAATTCAAGTGAAAAGGTTGAAAATGAATTTCATCCTACCCAAAAGTTTTTTTTTATAAAGGTGATATTGATTTAAAAATTTGTGATTAAGGTACTGTAGAAATTTAAAGCTGGGACCTCCAGATTCTAAATTAGTGGTATTACCACTAGGCCAAACTCCAAAAGTTATTCTAAATCGTTTGCCCAAAATTTGAGAGTCATAAATTTGAACAAAAGTGGTAGATATTTATTTTATAGAGATGAAATTAGTGGTCTAGCCAAAATTTATTATTCTACCATCTTCTTTCTTTCTTAGTTAAATACATTTTTCAATACGAATTAACATATTTAATTATTAATAATATAATTACAACACATTTCCATAGTTGGGGAAAGTATAAAAGATACAATAGATGGAAATCAAATTATGTAAAAATATAAGTTAAAAAAACTATATTTTTATGAAATTGAATCCACATGGACCGTGTGAGAGTCATCAATATACTTGAGTGGTTTGAACCAAGAGAGTCATCAATATACGATCAAACTAAATTACCCAAAAAAAAAAAAACGATTAAACTATCTCGTACAAATTAAAAAAAAATTACAAATCTTGCACAATTTCTATTTTGTCCAAGATTAATTTGACTAAAAATACCTGCAATTTTTAAACTTTCTCACTTTCCTGCCTATCTATTTTTTATTTATTTATATGTACTTGGAAATTTTACAGCATTGTTCATTTTTTTTTTAATTTTCATTTTATGCAATTTGGGTAAATTGGGTTCGGCTCAATTGAGTTTTAGGTTAATCAGGTTGGGATAATTGTATTGGTCAATTGATTTACGGATCATACGAATTGTGAATCATAGACTTTTAGTCAACTTTGATTGTGGGCAGATCACAAAACGAATTGACTAAAAAAGTTATTCAAATCGCGTTATGACTTGATACCTCCCTCACACTCAGGAGTGTTCAAATGGTTACCATGGTTATTACCAAACTAAATAAGGCTAAATTTCATTAACCATAAAATACAATATCATAACCAACCGTCCAAACTAATACAACAACCAAATTAGCCAAACTAAAGTTTAATCGGTTTGGTTAATTGGTTAATCAGATTAACCAATGTAAAATCACATTATCATTAAGTGATAAAAATTTCGGTTAATTTGTCAATTCACAATTTATATAATGAATAAAAAATAACAATCAACACTTGGTTATAGGTGACTTTTAACATAAATACATGCAACTAAGACAATTATCCTACGGTTAGTATAGAAGTATTCACCTAGCAAAAAATTATCACAATGGTATGGGTTAATGAATTGTTGTGTTTGTTTGAATTGACTTAGTCTTTTAGCAATTTTCATAGGCAGAAAATGATCTTGATTTCAAGTTTTCATCCAACATAATGTATGCGATTTATCTAAATTAGGCATTTATATGTTGTGGTCTACACTCTACATATACAAATATACATTATAGGAACAATATCAAACTTTCTATTTTATGAGTCTAAAAGGGATGAACGTTTAACTCTTGAGTGGTTATTCAAAGTATTAAGTATGTGTATATAATAGATATATGGCCAATTATTTATATGGTTAATTTGGTTTGACTAGTTAGGAGTGTCTGAAACCAAACCAAACTACCTAAACCAAACAAGCTAAAAACTTTAACCAACCCAAACCAATTATCCAAACTATCCAAACCAAATTATCCAAATAATACTGGTTAAAATTATTACCATGATAACCACGCTGTTTGAACACCCCTACAGTCACACCACTGCACTTTCCCTTACCAAAATTTGCCGATATACAATCTACTAAACAAAGAGAATCTATCTCATCCACAACTTTTAACTTTTATAGTTTTATACCATGTGCAATATGTCAAAAGTTGAAATAAAAGGCTCAATGGTCTTACATGTATAATGAGTAAATATTGCCTATACAGATAGAATATGTTCAGCATTAATCCGACTTACAAAATTACGCTAAATACATATATTATTTTTTTCAATAAATCTCATTAATTACTCTCGTTATATGTAGACAATCTAACATATACACTACTTTTCTATATATAAGAAAGTCCCCATAACATAACTACTCAAGTAAATGGTTTATCCATTCCAAACAAATTTGGTCATATCCCCATTAGCTCCACAACATTGAGATGGAAAGAAATCCATTCAAACTTTAGAGGATGAAACAAGGACAACCAACATACACAACATTGAAAGTGAAACCTAGATAGAAAATGAAGGAAAGAGCGAGATAGAGGGGGCCAAGATGTCCTTAGCAAGGACAACAAACAAGGTTAACCCCAATGGGTTTGGCCACCCCACCGCATATCACATATGTCCCTCCCCCTTTGCCCAATTGCCCCCACATGCCCTTCCCTCTCTCTCTCTCATCCCCCATTTCTCTCTCCTTCCATCTCCCAAATCCCTCAATTGTCCCCATAAATACCCTTCTCCTCTTCCCAAACCCACAAACCCCAAAATCAAAAAGCCTTTCTCAATCTCAAGTTCCCAACCCACAAGAAGAAGAAGAAGAAAAAGTTTGCATCTTTCACAAAAATGGCCATCAGGAAATCGAACAAGCTCCCGCAGACAGCCATGATCAAGCAAATCCTCAAGAGATGCTCCAGCCTGGGCAAGCGCAACGGCTACCTCGACGGCTGCGGCCTCCCGCTAGACGTGCCGAAGGGACACTTCGTGGTGTACGTCGGCGAGAACCGGAGTAGGTACATTGTCCCCATTTCGTTCCTCAGCCGGCCGGAGTTCCAGACTCTGCTCCACCAGGCGGCGGAAGAGTTTGGGTTCGACCACGATATGGGTCTGACCATTCCTTGCGAAGAAGGCGTATTTCAGTCCTTAACTTCCATGCTCTCCGCCTAAGGGAGTGATTCGGGGATTCTTCTTTTTTTTAGGTACCTGGGGAGTAATTTGGAGGGAATTTGTTGATGAAGAAGCGGCTTAACTTGCTTCTCATTTTCTCCCAAGTCTCCAAATTTTCATCCTCCTACCTTTTTTTTTCTTCTTTCTTTCTTCTCATTAACAGATTTTATCCGACTCGAACCGGACCGGGCCCGTTATTTTGGTTGGGGGTTGCTGATTTGTAAATCTACGGAGCTGCTAGAGTTGGAGTTTGGTTCGGGTATTGGGTTGGACCGTAATTAATTGACTGGGTTTTGGATGTATGGTTACGTTCCTTTGACTAATGATCATGATTATAGACGATCGTTAGCCCCAAAGTGATGACTAATGATGATTATGGATACGAGGTGTCTTGATTTGGGGGTTTCGATCCTCGTGCCTTTTGATTACGTTTGTTTGTTTCTGTGGTTTTTTCACTTGATTACAGGATCTTGTCTTTTGGCTTTAGGTGTAATTTAAGTCAAGGGCAGGGCAGCGAATGGGGTGCTACAATTTATTTCGGTTATGAGTTAAGGAAATTGTTCTTAACCGACACCTACCGGCCGAATGTTTTGTCAAGTGGGCTATTTTATTAAAAAGATGGAGAAATTCAATTTTAGCTAGCGTAAAAAATTAACCAACATGATTATGGGAATGGCCTGAAAAGGGTTGGTGGGCCTGTGGCTTACGGCTTAGATTGAGTGTTTAACAATGATATTTAAGGTTTGCGACCGTAGGATTTTGATTAAATTACGTATGGATTTTGATTAATGAAGTATTGATTTTGAGTAATTAAGAATTTCATGATATCTTGGTTCCATATTTGTCGTAATAGTCCAAATTTTCAATTGGACCAATGAAGATAATGTTTTTTTGACAGGGAGTTAAAAGTTAAAACTGATTTGAGTAAATAAGTAGCCATGTGACTAGTAGCGTGGAACGGCTCTGGTTAGGTGAGTTTGGTTTGGTAGTTTGAAAACAAACGGCTTGAATATTGATCCTTCCCCAGACTAGTTACCTGCCAACTGCTTTCAGTTACCCAGGCTAGGCTAGGCTTTGTCCTCATCAAGCTGTTAAAAAGATACCTTGGAGATAAAAAAAATTAATAATAATAAAATAAAATAACTATAAAAAGAAGAAAAGAGGGGTAAGGGTTGAACCGCAACCCAATTATGGTGCTGATATCGTGTATGTAGGGTTGTTAATAAGTCAAGTCGAGTTTTGCCTTGTTTAGATTTGATTAGTTACAGATTAGCCAAACTAGCTCTAGCTTGGCTCATGTGTAAACGAGCTGAGTCGAGTCAAACTCGATCTGACTCATTTACTAATACCTACTTGACTCATCATTAAGATCAGAAGTTCGGCTCGAACTCAACTCTATGATAATTTATATATTAAACCATTATATATTAAACCCTAATATTCCAAGAGCGATGATGACCAGAGCAGTGGCGGACCTAAGGCCTGCCAGGGTGTGTCGTCCGACACACCCTCGCTCGAGAATTTTACGAAGGACCTACATATTTTTGGTACAAAATTTTTTACTTCGGGATAGCGACACACCCTCAATAATTATAGCCGACACACCTTTATTATACTCGAAGAAATTATTATCCAAATGAATCGATCTTAATCATAATCCTTTTTAATTTTGTTTAAAATAACTCATAAAGCATAATCCTATCCTTCCTATTAAAAAAAATACTCTTCGCCCATACAATATACATTACTATCAAGTCGATTTATTCTATGCAGTTATAGATTTGCAGCTGCAAGAATTGAATACTCGATTTGGTGAGGTGAACACTCGATTGTTGGACTGCATTTCTTGTTTTAGTCCAGCTAACTCTTTTGCTTCTTTTGATAAAGCAAAGTTGATAAGTCTTACTGAATTTTATCCCGAGGAGTTTCCATCCAATGTGCTTTCACGACTTCATCAACAATTGGGGGCTACATTTCTCGTGTCAAGGAGGATAAGAGCTTTAATGGATTTCGAGGAATCGACGAGCTAGCTAGGAAATTGGTGGAAAGGGGAAATGACACTCTTTATCCTAGTTTACTTGCTGTTAAAGTTGGTGTTGACCTTACCTGTGGCAGCTGCAAGCTGCGAAAGAGCATTTTCAGCTATGAAGATAATCAAGAACGATCTTCGAAATCGGTTGAGTGACCAATTTATGAATGATTGTTTAGTTGTGTATATTGAAAAAGATTTGTTTTGTAACATAAGTGATGAATGTATTTTAGAGACATTTCAGCAGATAAAAAGTCGTCGCGATTCGTTGTAAACATGACATTATGAACTTTATGAATTAATTTCTTTTAATTTTAAATTAATTTTAAATTTATTTTATCGGCGACACACCTCTCCGACAATCCTGGGTCCGCCACTGGACCAGAGGCAGAGTTTTATAGGTGACTTCCCAAAGATTGATGACCATCTGCTGAGAGCGATCTCGTCCATCCCTTCCATGGAAGAAGGGGACTTTTTCCATAAATAGCACTATGTAATCCCCCCCCCCCCCCACACACACACACACAAAAATAGCACCCTTTTTCGAAAACAGCAGGGTTGGGGTGCGGTTTTCGACGAAAACCGCACGGGTAGGGGGCGGTTTTGTTAACCGCGTGGGGCCAGAGCGGTTTGTAATAATATTTTTTCAAATAATCATCATAAATGGTGTTGGCATAACTGGTTCAGTTGTTTCTTTGTATACAAGAAGTCTTTGGTTTGAAACACCATCATCCCATATTAAATCTTTTTATTTAGTAGAGATTAAAAAAAAGTAGCATGTTGTGGGGGTGGTTCAAACCCTAATAATATAAATAGTTAACTAAATTTAACATAACATCTTCACCACCAAACTACAAATCTTTTGTTGATACAATTACATATTGACAAAGTTTTAGTCTTTGAACGCCAACAATCCTCAATAACTTTGAACAACCATAACTTTGTGCTTCAAAATCCGAACTTCATGAATTTTTTTCCATTTCGCATAACTTTTGAAGGACTACAATTTTTACTAGGAAGAAATTTTCAAAACAAGAATTATTATTGGATATACAGGGTTTTTGGAATAATGTTACCTTCCCTTTTCACAAATCTACGTACATTTTGAAATTATGTCTATGATAAAAGTTGTAGTCCTTAAAAAGTTATGCGAAATGAAAAAAAAGTTCATGACTTTCGGATTTTGGAGCACAAAGTTATGGTCGCCCAAAATATGACGAAATCGAAAAAGGCTCGTTCGGGGTAGCAAATGACGTTTTTTCGAGACGAAGGTTGCGGCTTGCAAGATCTCATATTAAATCTTTTTATTTAGTAGAGATTAAAAAAAAGTAGCATGTTGTGGGGGTGGTTCAAACCCTGATAATATAAATAGTTAACTAAATTCAACATAACATCATCCCATATTAAATCTTTTTATTTAGTAGAGATTAAAAAAAAGTAACATGTTGTGGGGGTGGTTCAAACCCTGATAATATAAATAGTTAACTAAATTTAACATAACATCTTTACCACCAAACTACAAATCTTTTGTTGATACAATTACATATTGACAAAGTTTTAGTCTTTGAACGCCAACAATCCTCAATAACTTTGAACAACCATAACTTTGTGCTCCAAAATCCGAACTTCATGAATTTTTTTTTCATTTCGCATAACTTTTGAAGGACTACAATTTTTACTAGGAAGAAATTTTCAAAACATGAATTATTATTGGATATACAGGATTTTTGGAATAACGTTACCTTCCCTTTTCACAAATCTATGTACATTTTGAAATTATGTCTGATAAAAGTTGTAGTCCTTAAAAAGTTATGCGAAATGAAAAAAAAAATTTCATGACTTTCGGATTTTGGAGCACAAAGTTATGGTCGCCCAAAGTTTGACGAAATCGAAAAAGGCTCGTTCGGGGTAGCAAATGACGTTTTTTCGAGACGAAGGTTGCGGCTTGCAAGATCTCAAAAAGTTATGCGGATTAAAAAAAATCGCTGCGATCGGATACCCGAGTGCAAATTTACTTTCGTTTGAAGTTTCGGCCGAGGTTAGGAGTTGATCGGATTTTTTTTTGGACCAAACCGCTTGATTGGCCAGCTGTTTGGACCAAACCGCCCCCACCCCGAGCGGTTTTCAAACCGCCTTGTAACCATGCGGTTTTCATCGAAAATCGCGCCCCATCTAGCGGTTTTCGTGTAAACCGCGGGGTGGGGGTTTTCGAGAAAGGGTGCTATTTTTGGATTTTTTTTTAAACAGTGCTATTTCTGGAAAAAAATCCTGAAGAAAGTGGTCATGGAGATGAGCGCCCTGAAAGCACCAGGCAAAAACGGGTTCCATATGCTTTTCTTCCAGAAGTGTTGGAGCAATGTTGGAGAGGATCTTTACAAATTCATCCTGTAATGCAATAGGGATCCGTATAAGATCAGTCTTGTTAATGAAACCCTACTTACCTTAATTCCTAAATCGGATGCCCCAACTTCTATGAGTCATTTTCGTCCTATTTATCTTTGTAATGTTGGGTATAAAGTGGTGGCAAAGTGTATTGCTAACAAACTGAAAATGGCAATGCCCCACTTAGTACACAAAAACCATTCGAGCTTTGTACCAAACAAGCACATTACTTATAATATTCTAATCTTGCAGGAGACGGTACACTCGATGTCAAGCCAGCAAGGGAAGAAAGGAATCATGTTCCTCAAAGTTGACCTCGCTAAAGTCTAAGATCCTAGTGAATGGCAGTTCCTTGAGGAAACCTTGAGGGAAGCTGGACTTCCTGGAAGCTATGTGCATATGATTTTGAAGAATGTTACCACAACTAAGCTCCAAGTGCTCTGAAATGGAGGGAAAATTGAGAGCTTATTACCCTCCAGAGGTCTTAGACAGGGATGCTCACTCTCTCCCTACCTCTTTTACCCTTTGTGTTGAAAGATTGAGTCATTGTATTCTCAAAGAGGTTAGGGATAAGAATTGGAACCCTATTAGACTGTCTCCTACGAGTCCTCCTTTGTCTCATCTCTTTTTTGCAGACGACATCGTCTTATTGCTGAAGCTAACCCTAGGCAAGCTGATTTGATAATGAGATGCTTAGACTCGTTCTGCTCTGCTTCTTGAGAGTTAGTGAGTAGGGAGAAGTCAAGAGTGTTTTTCTCAAGAAACATAAAAAATGTTGCTAGGGTGGAGATAAGTCAGAGATTAGGAATTCAATCCACCTATGACTTAGGAAAGTACCTAGGTGTTCCAATTCTGCATGGTAGAATTATGAAGAATACATATAGGTATATCCTCGAGAGAATTGAAAGTAAACTGTCATCCTGGAAAGCAAGAACCCTCTCTCTTGCTAGTAGAGTCACCCTTGCATTATCTGTCCTAAATGTCATTCATGTGTATGCTATGAAAACTTTTGTGCTCCTTATGTCTGTTTGTGATGCTATTGACAGGAAAATCAGAAACTTTGTTTGGGGAGGAACTGATGAGAAGAGAAAAGTCCACCTTATCTCGTGGGATCAAATCTATAAACCTAAAGGGTTAGGAGGACTTGGCCTCAAGCCAGCAAGGAGTTTAAATCAGGCATTCATGGTGAAACTTGCATGGGAGATCTTCAACTACGGGGATAGTTTTTGGGTCTAGGTCTTTCAGTAGAAATATTTCCACCACAAGGATGGGAATATGTTGTCAATGAAGAAAATGAACCATTCTCCGCTTTGGAAGGCTATCTTGAGCAATGCCAGTTATGAAGCAAGCCTTGATCTGGAGTGTGAGGGATGGTCATACAACAAGCTTCTGAACTCACCGCTGGTTGGAGAATGGATTGATTCTAGAAGACTATGCCTTGAAGGCTCTTACTGAGGAAGAACGCTGCTCCTCAGTGGCGAAATGGACCAATGGAGAAGGTGAGTGGGACTGGAAAAAAATCAAACACTCTCTTCCCAATGAGATTATTTCATGTATTGCAGGAAATGATGCACCAAGCCAGGAGCTGGGAGAGGACAAAACCCGTTGGGGCGAGCGAAAAAGGATGGGCGATTTAGGTTAAAGTCTGCCTTCAACCTGGTCACTGACAAGCTATATGAGGAGGCCCTGCGAATGTGGAAGGATCTCTAGCATTGGAAAGGACCTAGTTGTGTGAAGCACTTCCTTTGGCTTGCCAACCATGATAGACTACTGACCAACAAATAGAGATTGAAAAGGAACTTGACGACTAACTATACAGCGATTGCAATGTCTGTTCTGGCATGGAGGAAACAACAGAGCATATCCTCAGAAGGTGTAAAAGAGCTGAAGAAATCTAGAGTCACTTCAAAGAGAAGCTCAAGGTCACTTCAAACACAACTGACTTTCAGGTTTGGCTTGGAGACAACCTCAAAGATGAAGATAAATGAGTGGATTTTGGCCTCATCTGTTGGATCCTATGGAAGCAACGTCATGAAGTGAAGATTGAAGGGACGAAATTCACAAGAGAAGAAACAATCTCTCGTGTTCTTGCTTGGATCCAAGTTAACAAGCAAGCTAGGGAGAATGTGATCAAGTTCTTTCTCCCTATCCAAAGAAGCCATGTAGTGCAGCTTGTGGCGTGGAAGCCTCCATATGAGAACTTGATTCAACTCCAGACTTATGGCTCTGTGCTTGGACCCAGAGGAAGATCAGCAACAAGAGAACTCATGAGGGACGCGTTGGGGAGATTTGTGGATGCATTTGTCAGCAATATGGGAAAGTGCTAAATTACGCGAGCAAAACTCAAAGGGGCAGCTGAAGGCCTTGAACGTGCATGGAAGATGGGATTCAAGATGGTGGAGCTTAATGTGGATTCCTCAACTGCCCTAACCATCGTTGAGAGCAGGAAGAATACGAATCGTTGTCATGGTCCACTTGTTGAACGAATTTACAGGTTACTTGATCGTTACTGGGAAGTTAGAATTTCCCAGGTTTACAGAGAATGTAATTTTGCAGCCGAATTTTTGGCTAGCAAGGGTCACTTGGGCCCTTTGGGCACACATTTCTTCGATGTGTGCGACCCAAACTTGGTCAATGGTTGTACTACGACTTCATTGGCATTGTCATGGGTCGCATTATTCCTAATATGATTTAGACGCCTTTTGGTGTCTGTCTTTCTACGCCAACAAATCCTAATATTTATATGTCATATATGATACATGTGATTAATTGATCTCATGTCACATATGAGACATATTTGCTCGCGTACTCAATCTTAAACATGTGTGATATATAATTTAATAAATCTATGAATTAGCAACAAGAAAACTCATGATATAAATCGATTTCTCATAAGTCGGTAGTAGAGTTGGCTCACTAATGACAATTTTGAGACATGAGCTCAACACAAGATAAATCACCAGTTGAACTCAACAAGCTACCTAGTCGAGCTGACTCACAAGCCTCACGAGCTGAACAAGTCTAAACTCAAGTTCAGCTTGTTAATAAAATGAGTCGAGATTTTTCTTAATTGAACGAGCTTTTATCGATTCGAGCGTTGAGTTGTTCATGAGCTATTTGATTCATTAACAACCCTACGTGTATGAGAATAAGCTTATACTGCCTTGTGTTCGTTAGATTAGAGGCAAACGCCTAACCGTGACATTTTTGTAAATAATATGTTATTGTTTTTTACTGGATATTGCATAGCGTTAATTCTGATCCAACGAAGATAAAGCATTGTGGGATTTCTTCAAGAAATACCACAAAAAATTCCAAAAATACCACCCATGTCTCAAAAATTCCAAAAATACCACCCTTTCACAAAAACCGCTTGGGGCTGTGTTTTTTCATGAAAATAGCCTGGTACTTTTTTTCGTTCAACGCCTAATTTAAGCCGAAACTTCAAACGAACGTAACTTTGTCCTTGGGTATCTGATCGTAGCAATTTTTTTTAATTCGTATAACTATTCGTGATCTTGCAAGCCGCAAACAACCATAGGTGGTTTGCTCCCGCCTTCATCCGAAAAAATGTTGTTCGCTACCCCTAACATTAACAAGCTTTCTTCCGATTTCTTCAAATTTTGGACTACCATAACTTTGTGCTCTGCACTTTGAAGTTCATAAAATTTTTTATCTCGCACAAATTTTTAAGCTACAACTTTTGCTAGGACGTAATTTTCAAAACATGAATTATTTTTGGATATATGGGGTTTTGGGAATAACTTTACCTTCACTTATCTCAAATCCCCGTACATTCCAAAATTATGGCTATCATAAAAGTTGTAGTGCATAAAAATTTATGTGAATTCAAAAAAATTCATGAAGTTTGGTGTGCGGAGTACAAAGTTATGGTCGTCCAAAGTTTGACGAAATAAAAAAAAAGCTCGTTCGGGGGTATCAAAGTTATTCACGCCGAGCTTCACGCTGAGCAGAGGCTTAAGACATCCCACTCTCTCCCTATCTTTTTACTTTGTGTATTGAGCGGCTTAGCCATAGTATTGTTGATAGAATGAATGATAAGAGCTGGAAACCTATTAAACTTTCTGCTGAAGGACCTCCTCTCTCATTTATTCTTCGCTGATGAGCTTGTGATTTTTGCGGAAGCTAGTACGAAACAAGCATATATCATTTTTAAGTGTCTGAATGATTTCTATGAGGCCTCGGGTGAGCTAGTTAGCAAGGATAAGTCCATAGTTTTCTTTTCTAAGAACACTAGGGCCATCGATAGAAGTAATCGGGTGAGCTAGTTAGCAAGGAGAAGTCAATGGTTTTCTGTTCTAAGAACACTAGGGCCATCGATAGAAGTAATATTTGTAATAGGCTTGGAATTCAGTCTACCCCTTCTCTAGGGAAGTACCTAGGGGTCCCTGTGTTGCATGGTAGATTTTCTCGTAACACCTATAGATATATCTTGTATAAATTTGACCAGAAACTTTCGGGATGAAAAGCAAGAAGTCTATCTTTAGCGGGTAGAGTAACACTTGTTTTTGTTGTTTTGAATGCCATCCCATCCTATGCTATGCAAACTTATGTGTTGCTTGCTTCTGTTTGTGATTCTATTGACTGTAAGATTAGAAGCTTCATTTGGGGGAGCCATCTTGGGAAGAGGAAAGTTCACTTGATCAATTGGGATACTATTTGTAAACCAAAAGACCAAGAGGGCTAGGGTTTAGAACAACTAGAAGCTTAAATATGGCGTATATGATTAAGCTCGCCTGGTAGGTTCTGAACAATGGGACTGATCTGTGGGTGCAGGTGTTTCAAGGAAAGTATTTCCATCACTAGGAAGGAAACATCAATTCTATGAAAAAAGCAATCATTCAAGGCTTTGGAAAGCAATTGTCAAGGCGATGCCTCTGATGAAGCAGGCCACTATTTGGAGTGTTAGGGATGGACAATCCACCGGATTTTGGACACATCCCTGACTGGATAATGGAGTTAAACTGGAGAACTACTCAATAAATGAGTTGATTGAGGAGGACCTTGCATCCTCAGTTGCGAAGTGGACTGATCAACGAGGTGAGTGGGATTGGGGACGGCTTACCCTCAATCTTCCTAATGAGATCCTTCTGCGAATTGCAGGGAAAGATGCGCCTAAACCGGGAATGGGAGAGGACACTACACTCTGGGGCATCGAGAAGGATGTGAGATTTCGACTGAAGTCAGCCTACAGCCACGCAACACGAAACCTCAACGACGAACCTCACAAGATATGTAAGGACATGTGGAAATGGAGAGGACCAAGTAGAGTGAAGCATTTCTTGTGGGTGGTGTCACATAGAAGACTTCTCACGAACAAAGAAAAAGAGAGAAGAGGAGGCTCACTAACAACGGCAAATGCGCACATTGCAGTGGAACAGAAGAAACAGTGGAACACATCCTCAAAGAATGCGACAAGAATACAGGATTATGGAATCGTTTCAGGATAAAGTGAGGGAGAAGAGCAACAATGTGGAGTTCGATTCTTGGCTCAACAAAAACCTCATGGACGAGAATACAGGGACCGATTTCGGGTTCATATGCTAGATTATCTGGAAGTAGAGGAACGAGAAAGTCATGGAAGGGAAGAGATTTTCGGAGGAAGTAGTCATTCACAGAATCCTTGTGTTGATTGAAATCAACAGGCAGACTCAAACAATGCTACTCAAAGCATTTTGCCTAATAAGATCACTAATCAAGTGCAATAGATTGGTTGGAAAGCACCAAGACAGGGGATGGATCCAAATCCAAACAGATGAATCTGTTATTTCTCGGACTGGTGTTGCTGCAGCTGGTGGGCTTCTACGAAATCACATGGGGAGATGCGAATGAGCCTTCACCTGCAATCTAGGAGTCTGCTCGATAACAAGAGTTGAGCTGAAGGGTGCACCTGAGAGCTTGGAACTTGCTTGGAGCAGAGGCTACAGGAAAGTTGAGTTGAACTTGGACTCCTCAACTGTCGTTAACATCATCAAGAATTGGAAGAACAGTGACCATGTACATGGGCTGCTTGCGACACAGATGGGGACTCTTTTGGAAAGAAATTGGGATGCCGACATTAACCATATATTTAGAGAATGTTACTATGCTGCTGATTTCCTTGCTAGTAGGGGATATTCAGTTAATTTTGGCACACATTTCTTCGATGTGGGCGTCCCTAACCTTTTTTATTGGCTCAATTATGATTCTATGGGTTTAACCATGGATCGAGCCGTTATTAATACGAGTTAGACGCCGATGGTGTCAGTCTTTTTACCAACAAAAAAAAAAGACGAAGGAAATGAACCTTGATGGGTGGAGATTTTGGGGTCGGGCCGGAAACCGGACAACACATGAAATGACTTAGGTGAAATGTAGGGTGAAATATCTCACATACCACTAAACTTTAAGAATTGGGGCAAGGGTACCACTAAATTAAGAATATGACATTATATACCATCAAACTCAATAAATTGTGCATCCATCTATTTTTCCATCTATTTGACTAACAGTCAACAATACTGGACACATTAACAGTAAGTTGGTCATGTATAAAAAACAAATTTGCCACATCAACCTTCATCTTTCCAATCCTTATTCTATTATTTCTACTCCCATGACCCATCCCATAAATAAATAATAAACACATCACCCAAAACTAGCAACTCTCTATTCACTCTCCCTCTCCCCCCTCTCCCCTGAAACTCTTTGCCAGCTTCTTTCCCCAGTTCTAGTGGGAGGAGTGAATTCCTAATTGGTGTCTAAATATGTAAGTTCATGGACCAATGAGGATTTACTAATGATTACTTTAAGAGAGGAAGAAAGCCTGCTTTAGACATCCAGGGCCACGAGATTGTCGTCTCTGCAACTGCATCCCAGATCGCGACAATGATGCTCGCTGCGATTTCGACGATGGTTGGTATAATTTTGCCTTTCGATTCCGGACAAGCCAATTGCAAGGCGAGGTTTAACTGTTGCGGATGCTCAGAACAATGGTTGCGGTTGAGATGATGCAGGAGAATAAGGCGGTGAGAGACGTGCCGAAGTTGGTAGATCTGAGCTCGAGGCTGTTCGGAGCAGGCGTGGAGAGATGAGGAAGAGGCTCCAACATCGGCGAAGGAAGAGCAACTGGTAGAGGAAGAAGATGAAGATAGACGCGAAGGAATCCGATGCGACGACTTGATAAGAGGAACACAATTGGGCGTGAAATTAAAAGTCTCTGGATGCAGTGGCGGATCCATAAATTTTAAATAGGGGTGTCCTCTAAAAAAAAATTAAAACTTAAATAATTCTTAAATAAGAAATTATCCGATTAGTATTCAACAAAAAAATACCGATAAGTATAAGTTACAACAATTGTCCACGACGAGTTTTCATATTCTGAAAAAATTGCAAAATACACTCTGTGTCTACATTGCACAACAAATCCCTTTCAATATACCTACAAGACAATCATTCACGAACTGATCTCCCATTCGATTCCGAAGCTTGTTCTTGATGTAAACCAAAGCTGAAAAAGCTCTTTCAACACTTGTTGTTGCAACTTGTAGAATTAATACAACCTTGAGAAGCAAATAGATCCATGGATATGAAAGATTCACCTTTGTTTTTACCATCAATTGAGCTAATTCATCAATTCCTTTTAACCCACGGAATAACTCATCATTCTTAATGCAATGATAGTAATTCTCAATGTCCCGTAGAAGAAAAGAGTCAGATAAGTGACCAAACTCTTTAGGATAAAATCGAGTAAGTCTTACCAGTTTCTCCTTGTCAAAAGGAGCAAACTCATTCTCTGGGCTAAGACAAGCCATACAAGTCAACAATGTAGTGTTCACCTCATCAAAGCGGTTGTTCAACTCTTGCAACTGCATATCAAGAACCGAGTAAAACAATTCCACCTGATAATGATGTAGGTTTGTGATCTGTGGAGCATTTCGCCATATAGATTCTACTACTAGGGGATCGATAATTATTTTCCCAAATTTTAGGGGTGTCCCGGGATACCCCTAAACCTCCATAAATCCGCCCCTGTCTGGATGGGAATAACACGAGTAACTCTGATCATCATCCTCAAGATTAGAGTTCGAAGCTGAGGTTGGGAGATGATTAAAAGATGGGTTTGTAGAATTTATTTTGGTTGAAATTGGATTTTCGATTTCTGGAGAGGGAATAGAGTCAATAGACGAAAGATGGACAAATATGATTGATGACGTGGCAAATTTTTGTTTTTATATAGGCTGATCTGGCTAATTTTGTTAACCGTTAGTCAAATGGATGAAAAAATGGATGGATGCACAATTTATTGAGTTTTATGGTATCTAATGCCCTATTTTTATTTTAGTGATATCCTTGCCCCAATTCTCAAAGTTTAGTGGTATGTGAGGTATTTCACCCGTAAAATGTAATTGGGATTTGGGGGAAACCGAAGTTTGGTTTACTAGACCTTCTATTTCCTTATTACTACTTTTGAGTTTTGATCCATAATGAGCTTATGAGATAGTAATAAAGTTTCAAGCAAGTTATCAAAATAAAAATAAAAAATCACTACTACCAGTAATCTTCATGAAGAAAATCGGTCGAGACTTAAGCGATGGCATATATTTTGGTGTCTTTTGTAAAGTTGATCCGATTTTTTTAGTTCAAGTGGTTTTAACGGGCCCTATGGTGAAGTTGGTGTAGTGTTGAGATGAGTACTCCATCAAGCGTTAAAGTAGCTCTTAAAAGTATTTTTATTATCAGTGTTATTAAAGTCGAGCCGAGCCGCTCGGTCCGACTGGTAAAATCGTCACCCGGTCATAAAATCGGCTCGGAACAGTTTAAACACCGCTCTGGTTTTATGTAGCGATTGACAAGCGGCCGAAGCGGTTAACCGCTCGAGCAGATCAAGCCGCTCATCCGGTTTTTGCCATTCAGCCGTTAAATTTAATAAAAATAATTGCAGAAAATTGAAAATTGAAATAAACCAAAAACGTCGGGCTCTCAAACTGAATCCATATTTCCATTTCACAATTTCGAAGGAAAGAGACGAGCTCTGATTAAGAAATGTCCACTATTTATACTGATAACGTTTATTAGGTACCGGTTCTCTAACGTTTATTAGGAATCAGTTTTAAACGATCTAATGTCGGTTGGACCACTAAAGTGCGAGCCATTCGCATTATCAGGTTATGCTCCGGTTTGGTTCTGACAACATTGGTTATTATAAAGAGGCAATTGTCGTAAAGACCGTACCGTTGATTGACCTACATGTTCAATGCAAACTGATTCTAATTAATCCGAACTGATCTCCCACTTGAAACTTGGCCCGACCATTAGCTTAAATACTAGCCTTCAACCGTTCTATTTGACCGACCCAAGGTCGTCCAATGAATCGTGAAGGCCATATTCCAAAATTGAGATGTGGCCCAAATGAGTTTTTAATTATAATAAAATTAAAATTATTATATCATAATTATTTGAAATGTAATATCTTTCTAACATTGTTTAAAATAAAATAATCTATCATGCCTATAATTTTTCTATTCTCCATGGGATAATTTCAATTGTTATCATGGCTATTCCATTAAAATTTTATTGTATTATCTTTTTAATACAAAAGGTTTTTTGAAACACAAACAATACTTTAACAATCAATATAAGTGTCTAGTTTATATATACATGAGAATATTAACTATTGAGTAGCACCAATATTAATTAATATAATTAAACTTATTATCATACTCAGAATCAATTAATCATACACTACCAATACAACCTACAATATAAGATCAAGTTAATTAGAAGGTTTAAGTGGAGGCCCCTAATACGGAGGCCCGTGCCGGAGGGCCGTTTGGCACACCCTCTTGGCCGAGTCTGGACCGACAGCCTGCCATAATTGCGATTTATTTCCAATACTCTACAACACGATAAAAACCACCATTAGTAATATATATTCGAGCACAAAAACACTTAATAAGAAGGATTTAACAAAAAAATTCAAATTTGTCAATTCACTGTAAAAATGGTTAAGCAAACTGATAAGATGTACATAGTTATCATGTCTTTTCCACGTTGGTTGGTATTAAGTAATAAGTATAGTGTTTATACGCTTTTCATTCTCCCTTTCTAATTCAAGGACAGGCAACCTCCCCTCACTTGCAAATGTCTCCTATATTAATCCCAAAATCCTTTAATTCTGATAGGAACAGATATTAGCATAATAATATTCTATCCAATTCCAATATACCTTTCCTTTTAGCAATCCCATACGCCCTTCACATTTTCATGTTCTTCCAACTTGCATGTTTAGGATAACATATAAGAAAGATGGTATGTTGTTCTCCTATAATTATTGTTTTTTTATTCAATAACAGAGGAACTCGGATGCATATGTTTGAGTGTACTCTAGTTCTGCGAATATCCAATAACTTCGTGAAAGTGAGTTACTCGAACTTCTAGTTCTATCAATAGCCATCACTTTTTCTCAATATGATAATTAAATTCTAAGAATAAAACTTTAAAACACCCAAATCAACCTATGCGGCTATGCCTTACTACTTAAGGCCCTAATATTGTTGAACTATGAATTTATGATACAAACAAGTTCGTCGACATTCCAAACCTGCCTGAAACAAGGAAATCAACAAGAAAGTGTCATATAATTTGTTGTCTAACTAATCTACTTTAGAATATGAAAGCGAGGGAAAAAGTTCGAGATGTTTGACATTGTAACAGATTTTATACATGGTTTGATAACACGATCATGACCCCATGTTTTGTTAGGTAATTAATCAACTCAAAATAAATCATCATGTCTAAAAGTCTAAACCGTTGATGTCTTTATCATAAATGCATTTCAGATCATGGCGTACTTAGCATTCTCATTATAATTATGCACATGCATGTGTTTTTCCTTCTCGTGTCCGGAATAATAATCAAATCTTGGAAGCTTAATCCCAAGTCCCAACGTTGACTAGTCACCCACTAAGCTTAATGACAAGTTGTGATTTTTTATTATTATATATAAATGAAAATATCACATTTTAGCTTTCATTAAAATTCAATTGGAATTCGCCAAAGATAACATAGCCTGGTGGTGAAATCACTGGACCATTTGAGTTATGGATGTGGGAGGTCCTGAGTTCGATTCCCAGTGGCGCCACTTGAGCGTTCCCGGCGGCACCCTTGGTATCAGAGGCGAAGCCTCCCCGATGTTGGTAGCAGAAAGCCCCGGCTAATAAGCAGGTACCCCCAGTGGTTTAGTAGGCCCCGCTGTCGCTCAAGCGGCACGTGGGGGCTGAAGTTCCTGGGTTATCAAATAAAATAAAAAATTCAATTGGAATTCGAATAGTCCCTGAAAATTATATAAAATCCAATTATATAAAGTGTGGAATGAAAATTTGCATTAATGAAATCCAAGAGGCAACAAATGCTCTCAATTAGCAAGATACTTTGCACACATATTAACCTCATGATAGACATGAAAAACGATAACTTTCCAGTTCTTGTTGAGCGACTCCTGAAATCTCTGTATAATAGTTGCGTTCCGGTGATTTAACTTTTCTCGTATCATAGTGAGTACGTAGTACTGCATATGAAGAATTGAGCTCAACTCATACACAATGATAGCCAATGTAACATGCCAATTGAAGACATTCAACCACACCTCCCATTATTCTCGTGTAATTGAGCATATCCCCAGGTTAATAACAACGTTGCTAGAAAGCATCCTGCATGTTCTCTAATCAAGCCATCCTGCAACTGCATAACCTGAATCATGAAAAACAGAGCCGCAGAATTGATGAGATTTACCCAATCGGGAGATGGCGGCTTCCAGGAGATCTCCGTCTTCGTTCCTATGAGCAGACTAGGCATATGAACGAGCATGTCCTTGTCCATTACATTTCGCACTACATTAATCCATGCTAAGATGCGTTGGATGAAGGCCTCAATGGAAGTAATCTCTTATACAAAAAGAATCGATCATTTATGGTTATCCAAAAGGACCAACATGTAATGTCAAATGCAGAGCATGTGGATTGCTATCGAAATTGACGTGTAATCCAATCCTCAATTTCGATTTCAAAAAATTGTTGGTGGTCGGAAAACTTGATAAGTTGCAACCACGTTATTAATACAAAAAAGTCGCAATCTCGCAACAAATGCAAAACTGTTTCTAGTGGTGCGTTGCAGAAGGTGCAAGTGGGTGATTCTGTGGAACCATTTTAACACACCAAAATACATTTATGTTATTACCAAAAAAAAAACCATACACAAGACAACCGGGGGAACAACGTGGATCTAAGATCATTCCCATACAACAACTTCCCATAAAGGAGATGAGAAAGTGAAGTATATGTCCATGGTATCCACAGAACTTTATCATATATATATTTTTTTGCACAAAATCAATAGTCAAGTACTGGAATATTTTATATTTCCAAGCTGTTTTTAAAAATCAAAATACCACTTCATTGGATTTGGGATAATATTTAAATTTTTTTCCTCATGAATGAATATATATACCTAGTAATTATCATCGAAAGATGTTGCTAAAACAAAAACTAAAAAATGTCGTGAAAACAAATTCAACGCAATATTTCAAGTCACAAGACAAAACCAGTTGTGTTGTGTCTTGTGTGATTATTATTGTTTGTGTTTGGCAGTTGCATGTGACGATGTAACCCTTTTTTGTTTTCTTGATGAAATGTTGTCTGGCGGGAAAACTTTCTTTGGCCAATTTAGGGGATTACTGTTGCAAAAGGGCCAGTCACGTTAGCTTAAGGGATTGTTTGGACACAAAGAGACCCTTATGTTGGGAAGGTGAGCTGTCTTCGTAGGCCATCCCTGTGTTGTTGAGGGGAAGCAGCTTAGCTACAATGGCGTTTTTTTTCTCTCTGTCCCTTTCCTTTTTTTTTTTTTTTCCAGTTCGTTGAGTTGGAGAAAGCCAATATTATATATATGCTTATACTTTCTGAGCCAAACATTGCCCTATCAAATTGATTGCTTCATCAGCCCTTTCTACGGTTGAATGTCCAGCCACAAGATAAGACAAATCGCAACTGTTTGCTAGCTCTTCAATAGTGACCAATTGATCATCAAATAGGGCACGACTCCATTCATTCTCCAAAGGCCAAATCTTGTAGCTAGATAGTGGTGGTGGTCCAATTCATAGTTTGTGATTCTTTTCCTTTGTTCCAGTTATATGATCTTGGGGGGTCAATTGTGCACTTCTCATTCTCAAATGTATATGATTTATCAATTCCCGTCGTAAACGGTGAAGAGAGACGTTTGCGAAACCAAACCAGACAGTGGGTTTAATTAAGTTTCAGCGCTTTCAAACGGTGAAACAATACTCAAATTAGAAACAGATGAACGGTAACTTAAAGCGAGGTCGCTAATTCTAGATGTAGTACGCAACGGCATGGATTTGATATTACCCGACTCGGGCTTGGGGTGATGGAGGAGTGCAAGTTTGGAACTTGTGGATAGTGGGAACTATTGAGTGGGTCTTGGATTTGCATGATGGAGTAGAAATTAGAGAAGCTAAATAGTTCAATGTGATCTCGTAGATGGAATCAATGGTTGTGGGAGCCGAGAGGGAACTTTATATATTTGAGGCAAGAAGAAGCCATGATTTCAGCCCCTATGATGGCTGTGTGTGTTTGTGGAGGTAGACAGAGTTTTAAGATTGCGGCCAAGTTTTCAGGGTTTTAGAAAAGTAGGTCAAGACCATCAAAATTTCGTGAGAGAAAATGCAACTACCTAGTAGGAGCATGGAGGAGATATGTACTACTTTCTACTGACCAAGCTATCCAGCTAGCGGTATGCATAATGCACATGTTCCACAAGTTGTAGGTTTGCCAGTTTGTTACTCAAAAGGACTGTTTCATGTTACACTTTGGGAAAAAAGACAACAAATTTAGGGAGTGTTTGCTTCGTGAATTTAGATTATGGATTTGGGTCCCGAATCTCATCGATCCTAGAGTTTGCACAAAGTCATTGTTTTTAAAAAAAATTTGTTGGGATCAAATCGGTGGTGTGTATGAACTTCGAGGGTTTAAATTCTTGAATCGCATAGGTTAGTAAATCCCATCAAAATGTGAGATTTGATTATCATATCTGTAAAATCACTGTGCAAAAAGCTTAAAATTCATGATAAAAAAATTAACTAAACAAACAATGAATTTAAAATCACTGTGCAAAAAGCTTAAAATTCATGATAAAAAAAATTAACTAAACAAACAATGAATTCAAAATTGGAACCTCTCATTTTCAAATCCAACGATTAAAGTAACTCTTCAAAAATGTAAAAATGCCGCGTTTTTTTTTATCCAGTAAGATTGAATTTGGTTGGCTAGAGCTATCTAATTTGCTGGTATAGCAAGAGTGTTGAAATCATATTGTTGGATCGTATTGGGCAAAATTGATGTTTGAACCAGACCAGACCGAACTGAAAATAATAGGATTTAGTTATTGGTTCCATGAACTTTATAAATATAGAAAAAAAATAGATCGAATTGAGTCATTGACATTTTAGACTAAACCAAAAAGGACCTAATGCACTATTGATCCGATCCTTAACTCTAAAATCTTATTTTGCTGTTGAACCGTGATTCTCTCAATTGAACCAAATCGTTGCACACACGACACACCTAACTCTGAGTCCCTCTCAATTAATTTCGTTTTTTGTTTTTTTTTTTGTTTTGATCGGTACTTCTCTAAATCTTCCTTCTAGTAATCGATCTATGACACTAGAATGGAATTCCGCTTGCAATTTTGTACCCAGGAAAAAGTTGGACTTTTATGAGAGGCCTGGACCAGCTATGCAATCCAGAGGAAAGTAGATCTCAGAAATGGGCTGGCTGATTTACCAAAGCTATACTGGCCCAGTCCACATAAAAAAAAGGCTCTTATTATATTGCAGTTCATGGCATTAATTGATGTATTTACGAAGGCCCATTAGTAGGGATGGCAACTTTACCCATACCTAATTGGGTTGAATATGAAATCCAAATAGATGGATATAGGTAGAGTTTGATGGGTTTGTACCCATACTCATTTACTTTGGGTTGAGTTGGGTTTATATCAAATGGATTTGTACCCATGCCCAAATACAAATTACAGTTTGGTACCCAAACTTAATAGATATGCATATTTAGTACCTAAATTTAATTTTTTTGCATATAAGTCCTCAAAATATCGATGAAAAATTATGTTTTGGTACCTAAATTTTTTGATCTTACATTTTGGTACCTATACTTTTCAAGTTTTACAAATAGATCCAATTTTTGCATGTGTAGTTAAAACACCATCAAATAAATGGATATTCATATCCAACCCATACCCATTTAGATTATGGAAGCAATATTCATACCTTACCCAAACCCATCTATAACCCCCCAAATCCATATGCACTTCACCCATACCCAACCCATTATCAATGGGTCTACTTGGGTTTGGGTATAATTACCCATGGGTGGGTAATTTGCCATCCCTACCCATTAGCCTTGGATCTCGACGCCAAGGGTTGTAGTCCGCAGTGAATGAATCAGTCGATCTCAAGCTCACAACCCAAGTAGTACCTCGGCATTTTCGCAGACTCAAATTAGTCATCATTGATGAATGTCTCTGAAAACTAAAGTGAAAAAAAGGATTTTTGTGGAGTCAGTGAACTTTTTTTTTTTTAAAGTTTCATTTAGATTGCAAATGGGACAAGCACAATGAAAAAAGTACACATTATACAAACATTAGACACCCAAACCCCAATGATCAAGACCCAAACCCAAAGACCCAACAACAGATTGGAGACCCAATAGGGCCCAATCAAAGCCCAAACCTAGTCCTGAAAACAAACCCTAGCTGCCTAATGTTTGCCCATGGAACCATCACCGCAGCTGGCAGCCCCTAGCAAACCCTCCTCCCACCACCCGACATCATGGAACGACGGCCAAGCACGAAGAAAGGAAAGCCGGAGCCAACCACCCCCAACTGAGGACAACGAGAACAACATGCAAAGTTCCAACCAACTCCTCGCCGGACCAAACTCCAGCAGCTCCACACCGACAAATCAAAGCGAGCAACTTCTGGTCGAAAGGGCGGCCGGTGACAGACCATGGTGGTGACCTTCTGTCTTCAAAAACTTCACTCCGAGTCCAAAGCTGAGAGCCACATCTCCGGACCATCAAGATCTGCAAGGTGAAACAAGGAGGTAGACAAAAAGCGAGAGGAGGAGAAGACAAGCCAAAATCTAAGAGATCCGGCCTCCTTTGCATCTAAGATCAGCAACATCTCCAGATCTGATATATCAGATCAGAGGACAAAATCTCAATCCAATTAAGGAGAAGAAGGAGACCCATAAAGGGGAAAAACAGAGCCAATCGATGGCTGGAAATACAACAACAAAGAGATGAAAAAACAAAACATGAAACTGGAAAAGGAAAGAAAGAAACGGGAAAAAACATGAAAGAATGATGGGCTGCCGCCGGTCACCAACAGGTGCCGGCAGCGTCCTTAGAAATCTCAAGGGTTAAAGGCTTAAAGCAAGAGAGAAGGGAGAGGAAAATAAAGGTAGAGAGGCGCATATATATGTGGTGGATAAGAGTTACTGAACTTGATGGAGTTGGAGTAAGTGATGATGTAGAAGGAATGGACGTGTCATCAGGACAGTGGAAATGCAGTATCTTTTCATAAAACACTACGGGGTCGTTTGGAAATTGCGATTGTTAAATAGATGTATTGTTGAGAATGCATGTATAACATTATACATGTATTTCGAATTTGATGCATTGTAGAATACGGACTTTTTCCAGAAATACCACTGTTTAAAAAAAGAATTCCAAAAATACCATCCAACCCCAAAAAATTCCAAAAATACCACCATTTTCCGAAAACCGCTGGACGAGGACGCAATTTTCTATGCAAACCGCTGGGCTAAGGGGCGGTTATAAAAAACGTTGGGTGGATCGGCGGTTTTGGGCCAAACCGCCACCCCACCCAGCGGTTTGGTCCAAAAAAAATTTCCCGATCAACTCCTAACTTCGGCCGAAACTTCAAACGAACGTAACTTCACACTCGGGTATCCGATTGTAGCGATTTTTTTTTGAATCTGAATAACTTTTCGAGATCTTGCAAGAAAAAACAGCCGTAGGCGGTTTGGTCCCGCCTTCGTCTCGAAAAAACGTCATTTGCTACCCCGAACGAGCCTTTTTTTTATTTCGTCAGGGCGGCCTTAACTTTGTGCTCCAAAATCCGAACGTGATGAATTTTTTTTTAATCCAAATAACTTTTTGAGATCTGCAACTTTTACTAGGATAAAATTTTCAAAACAGGAATTAGTTGTGGATATACGAGACCTTGGGAATAACTTTACCTTTACTTTTCACAAATCCATGTACATTTCGAAATTATGATTATCTTAAAAGTTGTAGATCTTGAAAAGTTATGCGGAAAAAAAAAAAAATTCATGACGTTCGGATTTTGGAGAACAAAGTTAAGGCCACCCAAAGTTTGACGAAATCAAAAAAGGCTCGTTTGGGGTAGCAAATGACATATTTTCGAGACGAAGACGGGACCAAATCGCCTACGGCCGTTTGTGGCTTGCAAGATCTCAAAAATTTATTCGGATTCAAAAAAAATCGCTACGATCGGATACCCGAGTGCAAAGTTACGTTCGTTTGAAGTTTCGGCCGAAGTTAGGAGTTGATCGAAAAAAGAAAAAATTTGGACCAAACCGCTGGGTGGGGTGGCGGTTTGGCCCAAAACCGCCGCCCCACCCAGCAGTTTTTATAGGTTTTTATAACCACCCCTTAGCCCAGCGGTTTGCATAGAAAGCCGCGCCCCCGCCCAGCGGTTTTCGTGTAAACTGCAGGGTGGGGTGGCGGTTTTTGAAAAAGGTGGTATTTTTGGAATTTTTGGGGTTGGGTGGTATTTTTGGAATTCTTTTTTAAACAGTGGTACTTTTGGATTTTTTCCGTAGAATACAACGTTTGGTATGTGTGATTGTGTATGTCGCATCAGCTAAAAGCTGAGACAAAACAATCTCAACTCAACTATCTCAACAATCACAACTAAAAGTTGAGATATAACAATCACTCAAAATGAGTGATAGTTTCTGTCACATCATAGAAACAATCCATGTATTGTTTCTGCTAAAAAAACAAAAGAAAAACGATGCATTGGAAACAATACATGCATAATGACAATCTCAACAAAACAATCGCAACTTCCAAACGACCCATACATCTCTGGAGACATAGATGTGCTTGGTATGGATGTCCATGACCTTATACCTTTTAATACCTGCTGGAAACCCCAAGAAAACATATTGACGTGCTCGAGGAGCAAATTTAGTACGTCCATGAGAAAGGATAAAAGCATAACATAAACAACCAAACACCCTTAGATGAGACAGAGCTGAAGGTTTGTTGTAGAGAACCTCAACTGGTGACTTGTTGTGTAAGACAAGAGTGAGAATGCGATTAATCAAATACACAGCATGTAAAACACACTCACTTCAGTACTATAAAGGAAGATCATATTGAAACTTTAAAGCTCTTGCCACATTAAGGATGTGTTGATGTTTTCTTTCAACCCTCCCATTCTGTTTAGGGGTTTCAACACAAGACACCTGATGTTCAATTCCTTCTTGTTGTGCAAAGTAATCACTCATTTCAAACTCCTTGGCCTGATCACTTCGAATAGTTTTGACAGTGGTGTTAAAATGATTCATTACTAAGTTACAGAACCCTTGAATTAACCCTCTAACTTCACTTTTAATAAACAGTGATACCATGAATGAACTGATACAAGCATTCCATTATATTTTCAGTTGTTCGAGTGGGAGATCTCTAATGTTTTCTTCTTCTTCTTCTCAATCTTAGTTTCGAAGTGATGAGGTAAAACGATTCCTTGTAAACAACAAAATGAACGTCCGGGGATTGAGACAGCAGCAAAGTATCAACCTTTCTTAATAGTATATACAACTGTCCAAAAGGGTGTCATGTTCCATCACTCAACATTCAACAACGTTTAAATGCAAAACGTAAACACCAAAAAAAGAACAGCAAAGGAAGTCACACATATGGATACCATATACAGATACATCGCAGACACAGACAGACAGACATTAGTTACAAAATTACCTTTTTCTCTCCCCCTTCTCCAAACCCTCCATTCTATAGTCACCATCATCACATTCTTCACTATTATCATGATCATTATAACGTCAAATCATGCAGTAGATTGCGAGCTGCCACCCCATTCGCACTTTGGATCTACTGATACCCATTCTTATTCCCTTTTCGAGGAAAAGAACCTGCTGAATCCTCTCCCAGGCTTCTCTGGTGTTGGAGTGGATGAAGTAGACGATGAGGTCGACTTGGTTGGCCGGTGGTTCGGCTGCTTCGAGCTAACCGGTGATCTCAACAAGTTGGCGGCTTCCAAATCAGGACTTTCCCTTCCTGGGTTGTTGAAGGAATGCACTGGCGACCGAGGAGCAGGAGAAGTTGCAGTGTCCAGCACTTCTTCTCCTCCTCCTACTTGCAAGTTTGTGCCGCTTGTTGTTGGTGGTTCTTCCTCAGCAGAACCATCGCCACCTCTCGGACTTCTTTCACCAGAGTTCTCTATCGACTGAGGGCGTAGAGAATTTAGTTGCTTGCCTAACAAGAATATTGTCTCTTGGCATTCTGCTAGCTTCTCCGCTGCGGCGAAGAGGTCTTTCTCCTGTAAGGAGAAAAAAAAAGAGAGAACAATTTGTTGATTCATCAAATTCTGAGTTTCAAATTGAAGGTTTTGAAATAAAGCAATGCATAAGACTAACCTGCTTTTGCTTATTATCCATCTCAGCTGCTGCTGCTGCACAAACTGGACAATTCTCGTTCCTAAAACAATTAAACATGAGTCAATTCGATTCAGGTTTGTTGCGGGGAAAATGGAAAAACAAGTGAAAAGTTCATACCTTTCAAGTTGTTCTTGAAGATCCTTGCATCTGCTCGAAGCATCTTCGTGTGCTCTCTTCTCAGTCTCAAGCTCTATCTCTAACCCTTCGGTCTTGATTCTAAGAGCATTGACCTCAGTTTCCAGCTCATCAGCACGTAGCTCAAGTGATCTATACGATTCCACCATGCACTTCAACTGAGTCTCAGCCAAAGAATTTGACTTTTGAGCATTAGTCAGCTGTAATTTGACTTCATCAAGCAGTTGGTCTGTTTCTTGCAACCGAAGCTTCGTGGTTTCGAGTTCTTCACCACATCTACCAAGATCAAGAGCCATGTTGTCCTTCTCCGACTTCAGTTCTTCAAACTCCTCTAATGAGACTTTGCACTGGATCAAGTTCCCATCATTTGGAACCTGGGGGTTCGACTTTGGACTGCCACTTGACACATGGCCATTCGTTGACGAGTATGGTCCATCATCCGTTACAATCTTGTTCTCTGGCAGAGCAACTTTGTCGATACAATCTGGGCTGCTGATCTCAGATTGATTTCCTTTGTAACCCATCACACTAAACCGAAGCTCACTCGCCTTGTCCAGCACTCGGGACAGGTCAAAAATGAAGGTGCCCAAGCTTGAACCTTGGTTCAGAACTTTGTTGATGGTTAATGATAGGTCTTCGGTCTTCTTGCTTAGTTCTTCCCCATCATCACCATCAACGGTAATTGCTTCTTTCCGAAGCAATAGTACGAAATCATGTATCTGAGAGACTGCAGAAGCCAAGTCTTGGCTCATTTCAGACTCTACAGTTTTAACATCCTCCAATATGTTTGATTGCATGTCATCATTTTTGCCCGAGTTGACTTCTTCTGGGCCAGCTTCTCTACTAGGCATATCAGACGTGCCATTAGAGACCTCAGGAGTCTTGTTGCCAGGGTGATCCAAACAAGCTAGCTTCTCCATCTCGAGGAAGTCATCCATGAGCTCGATGTTCTTAGCACTCTCTGCCTTGATCGATGATCTCTCACCATTCTTTTCCGACATCATCGATGTGGTCCAAGAGTCAGCACAGCTTCGATCGTCATCATTTCCATCCTCTGACATGGATGTGACGCTAGGCACAGATTTCTGCTGATTGGTCATATGAAGCTGAGCTTCTAAGCTTTGAAGCCTGCTTGCTGTTTTGGCACATAGATTCCTCGAAGCCTGAAGCTCACTGTTACGCTTAGCCAAAGCTTCTTTGAGCATCTTGGTCTCTTCTTCCGTGGCAAACAACCGTTCTGTCAAGAACTCTGTCTCCTTTCCGAGAGAGAATTCAGTTATAGGCGACATGTGTGGGCTAGAAGGCTTGACAGGTGACCGCTTCAACCTCGAATCCCCATAATCTCGGCCCAAGCTCTCAACCTCAAGCTTCATCTGTGCCAGAGCAGCAGGACCTGGCAGTTTCTTCCTCACGAGCCCGCGTAACCTCTGGCATTCGGCTTCAAGCTTGGATATCTTCTTCACACCTTCCATGTACTGCTTGTTCGCCACCTCAGCAGACCTCATGCTCATGTTCTTCTCTTCATTCCTTATCTCAAGCTCTTTTGACACCACATGTACTTCATACTTCATCGAGTTTATCTCCCTCTCACAAGACTCTATATTCCCCTTGAGAACCTCGATCTCCGCCTCCGCCTGTGATTTCTCCTCGCTCATCTTGACCAACATGTTGCCACGCTCCTGCAAAGACCTCGATAAAGCTGCATTCTCAGCTGCTGACCTTAACAGCTCCTGATCCAAATTAGCAATCTTTGATTCGAGATCAAGTCTAATCTTTTCACATTGCTTGTTCTTGGTGAGAACAAGTTCCTGCAATTTCTGCTCATGGTCTTCCTTGAGGTTTCGTATTTCCCTCATGCATTCTTTGAGAGCACCGTCTAGATGAGCTACTCGATCTTCGACTGTCAGCTTGGAGAGCGTCATTGCTTCTAGACTGTTCTTCAACGCCAATGCCTCTGCTTCAGCCTTCTCCCAGCCTGCAGGGGGAAAAAACAATCCATGTTCTATAAATATGGTGGGAGATGAAAGACTGAATCACAAGCATCTATACAGAACTGTAAGTATTATTACCACAGACAGCTTCTTCAGCAACCTTGGCATGCTGTTTCACCAAGTTCTCCTTGGTGGTCATTTCTGATTGAGCTGCAGAGAGCTTTTCATTCAAGTCATTGATCTCGTCGTCCAGTGATTGAACTTGTTCTTCATATCCTTTCACTTGCTCCTCTAAACCGGTCAAACGGGTGTACGATTCAACTGAGATTTGGACATAATTCGGTTTCTTGTAGTTGTCCTGTTTCAAACATAATTCAAGGGGTCAAAACTAGTTCAACTTCTCGATAGCCACATTACATTTTGGAGACTGATGAGATGAAACAAGTTACCTTCACTGCCTGCGCCTGTGGTTCAGCAGAAGCCAAAGCAGCATCGAGAGACTCAGCTGCTGCTGCCGCTGCTTTGGATGCCTTCTCGGATGAAGACTTCTTCTTCCATGGCCAACTCCGGCGGTCCATTTCTACCAATAAAAGTTCTGCAAAGAGTTGAATCCAAACTACATTGTCAAAAGGCAAGCAGCAAACTACAAACGAGCCATCAATTTTTGGCCTTTGGAAAAAGTACACATTAAGCAAAACCAAAGTCATAAGAATTACATAGACCCAGAAAAGAAAAGACTCCAAAAAACCAATCAAAGAACCTTTAGGAGTAGTGTCAATCAGATAGATAGTAACAAGCCAACCACATCAATTTTCATTTTTAATACCATAAATGTTCTATTTGAAGTGCCAATTCAAGGAGGCGTAAAATCTGGAACACCTCTCATAATAGGGAAGCAGTTTTAATCGGAATTGAGCATGCAAACTAAGGCTAAAAGTAAAACCCAAGATCTAAAATCAACAGAGCTTCATAATTGCACAATCAAGATCTCCAGAAGACCAGAACCGGAAGAATTCTAAAACAGTTTCAGCAGAGGGGAATTTAAAAGCGCGGTTTGAACTCTGAGACTGATGAAAGAGCAGTAGAAAGCTACAGTGAGGAAAGAAATAACAATGCACAAACCGAAGAAGCACTGATAGTCACAGTCTCTCAATACCCAAGAGCTCAGAAACCGTTGAGGGGGAAACAGATTAAAGGGCAGGGAAAGGGAAACAATGAAGAGTAAGGGAAAAGCCCATTGCGGCAGGGAAATGGCTGGCTCCGATTAGAAACTCAATCGGTAATTTCCCGATCAGAAAGCATCCACCGGAGTTAAAACTGGAGAAAACCCCACCGACACCGAGAGGAGCAATCGACCGGGAAAATTGCAATAAAAAAACTTCTTTTACAGAGTACAAACCGCATCGGGAGAAAAGACAGCCCAAAAGAGAAAAGGACAGAAACAGACGAAAAACAACACGCTAACATCATCGTCATCATAAGCACCACCACGAGTTACTGATTTCCCCCCCAACCACCAAACGGGACGGGACTCTCCCACCGCAGAAATCAAACTCACCGGAGCAAAATGTAGCTTCCGACGACGGGGATTCAGGATGAGAAGTCTCGCAGCAGGGGTATGAAACAAAATTTCTGGGTTTTTTCAGTTTTCAGGTTATTGTTAGGTAAGCTAGTTTGGGTTCCTAGTTGTAGTTAGTTGGTGGTATTAATGGGGATCTGAAATTGGCGGTGCGGGGGATTGATTTCAGGTGGGAGGGGAAGGGTTCGAGTTGGGAATGGAGGAATGTGAGACGTCGGCGGCGATGGCAATGGCAATGGCGTTGGCGTCGCGTCGGCGTCGCAGAGAAGGAAGACGCGGGTTGTGGTGGTGAGAGAGAGAGAAAGGGGAAGGATGGGAGGGGGAAATATTCGGTTCTAGAGAGGCAGAGGTGTCGCTTAAAAGTTAAAACTTAAAAGCCAAGAAGACGACGTTGCCAAATAACTATTCACTCACCTTTTCCCAAACACCCATAACAAAATAAAAAAATAATAAAAAAAAAAAAAGAGTCAGTGGCAGTGAGGGTGTTGCTTGCTGCTCTGGTAACTATTTCAAGTTGGATTTTAGAGCTACAATTATAGCTTAAACAAATGTTTAGTGAAGATTTTGTAATTTGTAGTAATAATACCATTTTTAATAAAATGGGGAGCCGAAGTTCTAGAGTGTTAGAATTATTTGGTATTTTGGCTACCAAAAGTGAAATTTGCTCTAATAAGTAGTGTTAGAGTGTCAAACTTGCTCTTTTTTTACATAGTGTAGTTTAGAGTAGATTTCATATTTTTTTAATATAGTTTGTAGATTATTTTTATATAGGTAGTAATATTTGATTAAGACATATTTTGATATAATTTTTTTTTTTTTGAAAAATATGGACATTAAAATTTATCGTCAAATATGACGTCATTAATGATGAAAACACAATATTTGATTAAGATAATGATAGATTCATCACATGTTTGCCATATTAAGTTGTGTCATTAACTGTTTATTCAACTTTAATAAGAATGAGTTGTCTCATCAGTTGCTCATTAACTTTTAATCAGAATGAGTTGTGTCATCAACTATTCATTCAGTTTTAATCACAATGAGTCGCGTCATCAATTGTTCATTCAAGTATGATCATTGTTGAACAACGAATGAGTTGTGAGACAAAATAGACTCAAAAGAACTCTGATAGCATGATAGATTTCCAATTCAAGTGAAACACATTCCGGTTTATTAATCAATTGGAGAGAAAAACATGCATGATCCAGCTTGCAGAACTGATTTTATAGTGTTTACAGTAAAATTAGAGAGAGAGAAGTGGTCAGGGAGTCTAATTGACCGTCTAATTTGTGTAGATCAATTGAGTGAGTATGTGTAGAGATGGCAATGGGTCGGGTTGGGTTTTGCCAAATCCAAATTCAAACCTATGGGTTTATTCGCAAAAAAAAAAAAAAAATTCGGGATAAAACCCATTGGGTTTGAAAAATTCAAACTCAACCTGCTAGGTGTCCGCGTGTTCATGGGTGCCTATGGGTTTTTGCGGTAAAAAATTTACAATAACAAGTTGCTATCAAAATAAAATTCAAACATCAATTTCTCATACAAATTATCCACACATAACACACTAGTATAGAAAATTCAAACAAATCACAATTACACTAAATAAAAGCACACAATTCTTTTTTTTTTTTCGTTCATTTGTTTGGGGAGAGTAGGGAGGCGATATGTGAATCGTGAGTGTCGTGAGAGTTAGGTTGGGGAAGGGTAGGATTTGGGGAGAGTAGAGCAACGGAATAAATGTGGGCGGGTATCGCTAAACCCAAACCCAACCCGATAAACAGTGTACGAGCTTAAATTCGAACCGGACCGAAACCCATCAACATGGATTTTACTCGTGATAACCGGGTTTGATCGATAGAGTACCCGTGGGTTCGAATTTTGTTGCCATCAAGTATGTGTTGGAGAGAAAATGGGGCATAAATAATTATCATTGCTCTCTATTATAAGGGGGAGCTAAGCATATTAGCCTTGATGCTTTAGGTGTAACTTGGAGGCTTCAGAGATGCATCTATGCATATGGTATTTAATTCAAAGGGGGACAAAATTCTCCAAATCCGAGATGGGCTGCCTAATCCTCCACTAGCCAGGCTTTGAGATCACCATAGATATCCTCTGCCTAATCCCTTTGAATATTGCTCTAATTGATTCCTAATTTAATTGATCACCAGTCATGAATCAAATATATCCAAATTCTTTACACATGCGCGGTGGTTTCCAATTTACCTACGGGTTCGCTCATTTAATTTAATTACACATCAAGCACAACACACCACAACGAAATTAGGTTATTTGTCTTGGACTTCAGCTGAATCAATATGGTTTGTACTTCGTATATATACCGGAGTGTCATTGGCCTGGTTATCGATTCAGCGGTTAGTGACGAACCACTAATCAAATTCTTGTAACGATGATATCGATTGATCAATTGAACTAATAACTAGTTATCATTTTTGTCAGAACAGAAGCGTGCAATCGATAATCCAAACCAACACGAACAAACACAAATTTAACATGGTTCACTAACACAATGTGTGCTAGCTAATCCACGGGCAGGGGGGACAAACTTCACTAATTTGAGGAGAGTACAGGTTACAAACCAAATTCCAAACGAACAAACCAAACAAACTAACTTGACTGACCCCTACTACAGACTAGGGTGATGAAAAGTATTTATAGAAATCTTCTCCTAATCCCAAACAGAAAACCAAACACATTTTCCCAAACATACAAGGAAAAGGTCAAACAAAGGCCAAACACAAACCCAAACAAAATATACCCAAAACACAAAACAAACCCAAATCAAATTCAAGTTATATTCTAACAATCTCCACCTTGACTTGAATTCTCTCTCAAATACCAAATGTACCAGATGCAACCAAAGTTGCCAGATGTACCCAACTCCTCCAAATCAGTTGTACCAGAATCTCCCTTGCCTCTAGGGATGGCAATCAAACCCATGGCCGCGGGTACCCGACTGCCCCCGATCCAGTCAACGCGGGGAATCCCCGCTTTGACCGGGTATGGGTAAAACCCGCAAAAAGTTTGATGGGTATGGGGCGGGTATGGTTTTAGCCTCCCCTGCCCCATACCCATACCCCCCCCCCCCCCCCACCACCACCACCACCAAGAGAATTTCTTCACATATCAAAAAATATGTGGATTAAATTGTAATCTATCAATGATGATGATGATAACTCGAGAAAATAAATAGTAGAAATGCAATTGAGTAACCACCTTAATCAAAACCTAATTCATTTCCCTCAAATCTCCTTCCACTCTTTCACTTTCCCCCTTGTCAACAAGATTATGTTAGTTAATTATTATTTAGTAAATGTATCAAGAGTTAGAGCATAATAATTTAAAAAATATTGTAGTCTATATTATGTATTAATGGATGTTTTAGTATCATATTCTTTGAATCGTATTTAGAAAATGACCGTGTTTTGTTGATTTCATGATATAATAGGTTTGTTTATGGTTATAATTAAAACTTTTCTTGTAAGTTTTAGGTATAATAATGTTGGATGTACGGGGATGGGTATTACCCATGGGTACCTGAAACCCACGGGGATGGGGATGGGTTTGCAAAACATTCCCCCGCATGGGTATGGGGCGGGTATGGGTTTGAGTATTTGAAGATGGGGATGGGGATGGTTTAGGCAAACCCGCCCCAAACCCGCCCCATTGCCATCCCTACTTGCCTCCAAATGCCCCTAAGGGCGGTCAACAACTCAAAGTCTCAAACCATTCGGAAAGCCCAATCCATATTGAGACTTGCCATTCAGAACCAACTTGCTGCACTTATCACCAACAGAACATGTCAAATCAGAACCTTGTAGACTATACAAGGCACTCCGCTTGACACCTTTCAAAATCACCTTAGAACCCTTGTAGACAGAAAACACTCCACATTCACCTTTGAAACTGAAACCCTTGCTGTCGAGTAGACTCAAAGATATCAAATTCTTAGTCATTTCTGGAATATGTCTAACATTGTTCAAGGTGCGAACAGAACCATCATGTGTCCTCATCCTGACGGAGCCTCTTCCAACAATCTTACAGATAGCACCATTGGCCATAGAAACATGTCCTCCATCTATCTGCTCATAAGTTGAAAAACACTCCCTGCTTGGACACATATGATAATCAGCTGCAGTATCTAAATACCACACATCCTAATGATGTACCTGTTTATTCACTGCTAAGGCTAAACCATCTTCAGAATCAGAGTTAGTTTCTTCCACCACAGCAGCAGATGATTCCTTCTTCTCCTGATATTTCTTCAGTTTAGGACAATCAAATTTCCAATGTCCTTTCTCCTTGCAGTAATGACAAATATCATCCTTCAAACTAGCAAAATTCAAATTTGTATTCGCCTTCCTATTACCAGATTGTTGTCTCCTACTACTAGTAGCAGCCAACCCAGATGCCTGATTTTCCGAACCTGAACCAGATGCCTTATGTCGAACCTCGCTAGTATGTAGAGCAGATCTGACATCTTCCAAAGACAAACTATCTTTCCCAGCAATAAAAGAATCCACAAAATTCTCATATGACTGTGGCAAAGATATCAACAGAATTAAGGCAACATCCTCATCATCTAATTTAACATCAATATTCTGCAGATCTAGCAAGATAGTATTGAGTTGATCTAGATGATTCCTGAGAGACGTACCTTCCTCCATACGCAAACTGAACAAACGTTGCTTCATATGCAACTTGTTGGTTAATGACTTTGTCATGTATAGACTTTCAAGCTTCAACCACAAACCCGCGGCAGTCTTCTCAACAGCAACCTCAGTGATGATGTCATCAGCTAAACAAAGCAAGATTGTAGAGTGAGCTTTCTCCTCCAAAGTAATCCACTCTTCTTCATCTATACTTTCCTTATTCGATTTTCCAGACAATGGAGCCCACAAACCTTGTTGTTTCAACATCGCTTGCATCTTGATCTGCCACAAACTGAAACTGTTTCTTCTGGTAAACTTCTCGATCTTCATACTGATAGCAGTCATTCTTACTATCAAACAAACTCCAACCAAACTCCACAAAGCAAAACTTCAGTCCAGTGCCAAATTCCCAAAACCACAACCAAAGGCTCTGATACCACTTGTCAGAACAGAAGCGTGCAATCGATAATCCAAATCAACACGAACGAACACAAATTTAACGTGGTTCACTAACACAATGTGTGCTAGCTAATCCACGGGCAGGGGGGACAAACTTCACTAATTTGAGGAGAGTACAGGTTACAAACCAAATTCCAAACGGACAAACCAAATAAACTAACCTGACTGACCCCTACTACAGACTAGGGTGATGAAGAGTATTTATAGAACTCTTCTCCTAATCCCAAACAGAAAACCAAACACCTTTTCCCAAACATACAAGGAAAAGGTCAAACAAAGCCCAAACACAAACCCAAACAAAATATACCCAAAACACAAAACAAACCCAAATCAAATTCAAGTTATATTCTAACAATTTTAACAAATAATTGACTAATCATTTATTAGCCCCTATTTATAGGACCATTACAAGTAGGTGACTGATTAATGTGCCGTAATAACTGATCACCACTTTATTAGAAGTAATCCTTTGCACGAAATGTGATGTTTTAGGCACATGACTCTCTTACTTTGAAAGTGCATTTTTGTTGTCTTATATGTCTTGACTACATAAATTACATTTATTAAATTCATTCCAAGACACTTATAGATGTATGTAAGTTA